GGGCTGCTCAGCACCACAAACCGCTGAGGGGTGGGGACAGCTACAGCTGGACCCGTGCTCTGGTGTGTGAAGGGAGCAGGAAGAGCTCTGATTTTCCATGATAAAAAAGCAAAAATCAAACACCAAAATTTATACGCATTTAAAATGTATTTTATTATAGTGATTGAGGCACTGGTAGGCTTCCAAATTGCTTTAAAATTGTAAATATATCAATAAAACATTGTGTTCAACTGACACCTATATAAATATATGTGGCGTTTCATTCTAATGGAGGGTTGGATCAAATGACCTCCTGAGGTCCTTTACAACCCTATTTTTTTATGAAATCACAGAAAAAAAATGCAGATTTTGGAGTTTTTAATCAGAGACACTGCAAAATTTTTTATCAGAGAATTTGCGATATTTAAAACAGAGAAAACCAGGATCCCTGCTTATAAGAGACCTGATTGTCAGGGATAAGCCTGCTTTTATGCTACATGCAACTGTATGATTTTGAAAACAATATCTTAACTATAAATACTATACATCAGTGGTCCTCAGCCTTTGGTACCTCATGTACCACCTGCCGATAGATGCGGCAACAGCGAAACCGGAAGTCCCACCATGGCGCTTTTGGTTTTGCTGCTGCGAGCCGAGTCTCGCTTCTTCCTCACGGACCACAGCCTGGGGCAAAACAGCTTGCGCAGGGCCCACTTCCCTGTCCCCTGGCACACTGATGCCGCGGAGTGAAAGCTCCGGTGCACCGGATGCAGCGGGAGAGGCAGCAGCCAGAACTTCCTTCTGGTCCCAACAGGCAAAGACACCTAACAACCTGTTGGGCAGGGGGGCAGACCAAACTCAAAATACAGCACCTGCATACCCCCTGCCCGTGTCTCGCATATTGCCAGGGGTATGTGTACTATGGGTTGAGAAACACTGCTATACATCTCAACTATGACTGGCAGAGAACCTGCCAAAGCTGACAAGCTGGGGGGGGGGGGGGGGGGGGGGGAAAAAAAAAC